ACTGGGGGATTGCTTATGTTGTACGTGTTCTTGCTAAAGAATTTACAAATGAACATAGCCTAACATTAGACATAAAGCAAGTAGAAAAAAATACGACCAAAACAAAACCAACGAAACAATAAAAAACAAACATGAAAATTTAACCCCCCCCCAAAAAAGAAAATCATCAAAAACCAAGAAACCAAAACCCAAAGAAAACATGCGTATAGCACACGGACATCACACAAAATGCTGTGTGGATAGTGATTGAGTATGTACAGTCTCACCATGGAAAACTGATTCTGTAATGAGATTCTTTTTTCTTCTCTGGCTCCTGTGTTAATTTGCACCTCCTGAGAACACCTAGAGCCTGTGGCCTGTAACACTGCAATGACACACACAGTCTTGGGAAGTTGGCACAGACAGCCAAATGGAATTGCCAGGGAAGGAAGGGGGAGGGTTTCATGCCAAAAAGGGTTCATTTAGTTCAATTTGTAAAACAGTGGGGGCCTACATGGACGGACTTTATTTTTAAAGAGCTCTGTTCTTTGGTTGCAGTACATACAAATTTGAATCCTTCAAATTAAATACGTGTACCTACTGTACAGTTCAAATGTCAAATTGTCAATGTGCAGTGCAGGCTTTCACATGTATACACAGAGTGGGTTGTTACTGTGTTTATCCTGCCAGGGATTTTTGTAGCAAAAATAAGGGACCGTGTTTCTATTATTAAACCTACATGTACCCACCTTTCCTCTGCATGTTAGTTATGAAATGGAATGTTCTGCCTTGTTTTTCTTTGTTAAAAACCTTACTTTTCTTCAAGTGTTTTGCTTGGAAAACAAAAAGACATGTCACAAGACTGGCCACTTTATATTGTATTTTTCCAGAGTTTCACTGCTGTTTTTAGTCACTCAGGGAATTCTATGGTCGCTCACAGGCCGTGGCAAATATTTTACCTTCACAGTATTGACTGTTTAGCTCGAATTCAGAGAACACATGTGGATGACCGGTATGCCTTTGCAGAGCCACAACTGGAATATTCCATGCATGGAAATCCCTCCTGGTAAAGTGCGGACTCGCGTGTGGCACCCTCAGAGATATAGGTTGGCCTCTCTTTTTTAAATCACTGAGGTAAAATCGTATCAGTATTACAGAACCGTGCAGCTTCCAACAGACAACATCTCAGGGTTTTTGCTACTAACACGTTGTACTGACTGGATAATCTTCAGCCAGAGAGGAATGAGATCACAGCCACTCATGTGTGTTATCAAGTATTATCGACTTAACCTCATGGAGGGCTCAGGCTATGTTAGAAAAAATTAAGTGGTGTTCCGTGTGGAAGTTTCAAGAAACGGAGAATGCAGCCCTGTTTCCTTTTTCTCTCTCGTTTTTCTTGTCAAGATGGTGGATTTTTCCAAGATGGTGGACAAATTTTCCCGACCCTCTTGCTGATACCTTTTTATTCCTCCATGCTGATACTGTTCTTCATATCTCAGGAGTTTTTACCTTTAATCCCACAGCTTCTGAAAATGCATACATGTACTGATTGGTACATGTACATGTGTAGTCACACATTAAGCTGTAAACTAATTTAACTGGTCAAAATCAAATGCAAATGAAAACCAACATCAACAAAAGTTTAACGGTAGCATGTGGTTCTTGCACATGTGTACACGTGGGCGCCTTTCTTATTAGCCATTTCCCAGACATAATAGCTTCCTGCTAATTTGATTTAGCGTGATGTCCTGGTCTTTCTTTTTTTTGTACTGTTTGAAAAATATTCATCAGGGAGCTGTGGTGAACTGTATGAACGAGTAGTGTACCGTATGTCCTTGTAGGTTTGTCTAGCTTCTTAACGTAATAACATTCTGGCGTGAGCCAATCTCGTTTGCGGAGGTTTCTTGATAAACATGTACAGGTATGTGTACAGTGCGTGAGACCACACTGAGCATGCTCTTGTGCTCCATATTATACGTGTACGTGCAGCACCGGTATGCTCTCAAGCACTTGCGTGATGAGACATCTTAACTAACTTCAGCTGTGATTCTGACGTGCTGGTAAGTGTACAGACTTACAGTGTGTCTGTGTTGCAAATTCAGAGAAACATCAGTTGTACTTGTAGAGCAAGATTTTGTTTGTTGGATCTTTTATTGGTAAAATGACTGGTGTACAGTACCTACAAATACATGTATAGGCATTTGATGTTTTTGATTCACTGCTGGGTGTACCATGGAAGTAGGAAAAGAGGTCTACCTCCATGGGTGTACCAATATGCATCATATACCGGTAGGCCTTTATAATGAACAATCGAATGCAGGTTGCTTTTTTATGGCCTACTTGGATGTCATAGTGAAAGTACTCCACACACATGGATCTGTTTATAAATGTATACAGCTCTTGATGTGAGTGAGGAGTTTTTCAGTTACTGGTTCATGTACATGCTTTGAAAACCTGAGGCTGTGCTTGGTATGAGCAGATACAAATTCTATGCTAATGGTGAAAGAAATTGTGTTTTTAGCATATTAGAGCTTTTTCCAAGGTTGTTGTGTGTGCCTTTTTGCAAGTGCCACTAGGGAATCAGCGCTCTGTTACAAGGAGGCTCTTGTTTCTGTCCCTGAGGCCTCCTTACTGAAGGCCACCCTTGTCTCTCTTTCTCCTTCCCTGGGCCAGCTCACTTGATCCAATAATCAATCACTTGGATGTGCCTTGTCTTTCCTTGTCAGAAACAGATCTGGAATTCATTGCTTAGTGCTCAAAGCTAAACAGGTAATGTACATGTAATTGTAACTCTCTCCCTGCTGCAGTTTGGGTTGAATAATTTTGAAAGCGCAACAGCCTGCAAGCCATCAGCAGATGTGCATGATGTGTTGATTTATTAAGGTCATAATATGTGGTAGTTCTTTTGTAAGGGTTCTTGGGTTGCATATCGACCAAGTACATGTACTTGTATAACTAGGCCTGCTTGTACATTGTATGGTATGTTCACGTAGACAGGCATTATACCTTGATGAGTACATGTACGTACCGGTACGTGCATCATGTGTTGTGTTTATTTTGACATTTATGAATCCTTTGAACACGTTCATGTACACGCACCGGTACAGTGTGTGCAGTGTCTCTGCATGTACTTGCGTAGTGCATGGTGCAGATTCCATCTAATCAGCCATGATCTCATCTCCTCAAGATCAATAACTCCAAATTAGTCAGTCATCAAAGAAGGGAAAATGAATGTACATCATGCATAGCACACTCTATACATGTACATGCTAGGCGTGACAGAAGGGGATGCACTCACTGCTGACAGGTTGAAACTGGATCTAGACACAAACAACATTGTTAACTGGTAAACATACATGTACATGTCAGCAATCATCACAGAGCATGTCTAGTTACAGATTAGTAATAGCCCTTGCTACATGTACATGTACTTTCTGCCTTTTCCCCTTATGCTCCCACTGTGTAGCTGCAGTGAATTTTTTTAGACAATCTTATTCTGCCACTTTGTACTTTCCTTCAATAGGAACTGATTTGACATCCCAATCAGGTGAAATGTACTGAAAAATGTACTTTTTTAATCATTTAAAATTATCCATGTTTTTCCAAACAACATCCAGGGAAGACATGGTTTAGCACATTTTTTGGGGGGGGGTTAAAATTGTGAACCTTGAATTTACCAACAAGAGACATTTCTGATGAAGGGTTGCTTGCTTGCTTATTACTGTGTAACATGCACAAAAGTGAAACACCAAAGAACAATTTAGGCCATCAATCATAAATATGCAGGAGTTTTTGTGCATAAACAATGTAATACTGCTCAGGCTTTCTTCTTGAAATGGTATCACAGTTTTGCTCTTGAATATCAAAATACTCTTTAGCATAAAACCAAAAAGCAGCCAAAAACCTTTGAATGGAAAAAAAATGCAGCATGAGGTTAACTGAGACATGAAGGGGTATTTTAGAGATTTTCTATTGAAAAAAATTCCATTGCAACTATCTTTTCAATGGAAATGGTGCAACAGAATACTGATTCAGTTTGTGTCATTTTTTATAAAGAGAACTGTTACTCCTTAGTATGTTTCAATGCTTAGCGCTGTTAGCATCTCTTACGAAATCAAATTTGAAGATGAACTGCCTGTTTGTTATTTCAATGAGGTCTAGTGATCAGACAAGAATGTGGCACAAACTCAGTTTTGAGTGCTTGTGTTTACTGGGACATAACAGTATCTTTGGATTGCCAAAAGCAAATGAGATGAAATAAATTACGGAGTAGTCATCAAGCCAAGTGTGTCCCTTTTTAAAACCATGTTATACGACATGACCAGATGACATTATACACGTGTTTAAAATGTATCTGCTTGATCTATTCTTGGCAGACACACATACATGTACGTGCCGTCTATATGAAGTCAGCAATGTGGAAAGTTACAGTGGGTAGTTATGCACCTGAAGCAGGTTTTTTTTTCTGGGTTGCGGTTGCTCATTATGTAGCACCTTAAAATTTGTTGAGTTTATATTTCGAGCATACATATAGATATGTTTGCATTGTTTTCAGTTGGAGGAAAATCAACATCACTGTATTTATTTTTCATAGGAAAAAGTACTTTGGTATAAATGTGTCGGACTGCAAGTTGGAAGCCTAAAGTACTGTATGTGTATGATTCCTTTTTCTGTTGGCCTAGAAAGTTAAGAAAATCTCAGTCAGAGTAGACAGCAACTGCACGAAACACCTTATGAAAGGGCATTTTTACACTCAGAGGAAATGCAATTATTTACATGTAGTTTTAACTTAAGATTGCACAGTGCTGAACTGTTTTCTTTAAAACATTTGAGCTAAATTGAGCTAAACCGGTTCAGGTTTTAAACATCCCACAAGACATTTTTGAGTGATCTACCTTCTGGATAAGTTTATTTTGACAGATGAAGTGCTTACAATATGGACTTCTGAACTAAATAAAAAAGAATCCTTTTGATGACTGATGGATCTCATTTTCAATTTTGTCCGATTCCACTTTCCACAGGTTCCCTGGTAGCCATGGCAAGCTACTCTAATATAACCCCCGGCACATCCCGTCACAGACACCAGGAGGCAGTCTACAAGGTAGGCATCTACGGCTGGCGCAAGCGATGCCTGTACCTCCTGATCCTCGTCCTGACCTCAGTCATTATAGTCAACGTGGCTCTCACCATCTGGATTCTCAGGGTCATGAATTTCACACTGGTAAGAGGATGATTGGATTTGGCTTCCATTTTGAATTGTTAGAAATTCAGCTTCTAACCTCTGCTTGCCTGCTTGGGAAATAAAAGACATGTACATTTGTGTACTATCGGCACATATGCACATTAGCATGTACACTTTGTTTTACTCTGTCAAATGTGTTGGGTGACTTTCTGCTATGGTTCAAAAGTTCACTTAAAATCTTTCTTTGAATTCATGCTCTTAGAATCTTTCACTGATCATTTCATTTTTTTCCAACACTGTGCCACGCCTGCATTGTGTTGGTTTCCTTGCTTCGTCTCTTTTATTATCTGACATTTTTGTCAAGTCCTGTTACTGTTTTGCTCTCCTGCATGACTGTGCAGCAACTTGGTCAGATGTTGTATCAAGGCTCTTACCTTTGGCTAAATGAGTTTGGTTATGTGGAATTCCCACTTCTACTCTCTGAGGTGACAAACTGAAAATAAAGTGCCATCATGTGGTTTAATGACAGGGGAACAGGGGTTGTTTGTGTTTGATTCTTGTACTCACCACCCAGTTATCATTTGTTCATCATTTGTGGATCTCAGAATATGCTAACGTACATGTACATGTAGCTTATCAAATTTTAAAAGCTTTAAAGGGTTATTTCTTCCCCTTTTTGGTTTTTAGATCGTAAACAACTTGTCTATGAGCTGTATACTGAAGTCAGGTTTTAGATCTTCATTAATTCATGTGGTTTGTTTTAATCATAAGCTATAAATAGAAACTAGAGCGCTGACTCATGCACAAAGTGATGCTTGCTGGACGCATCCATGTTTGTGCACAAACCTATGGAAAACTTGAAATTTGTACAGTATTTGTATGGCTATTCGCATAGCTACATCTGTATTCTAAAACGATATGTCAACAAACCGATACGTAAACAACCTGAGCGTACAATCAGTAAATGAGCGTTCCATTTTGCTCTACACCCAAATATGTAAACGCGTGTGCGTATGTGCTGCACATGAATTTTGCCGTGACTTTTTTTACCGGATGCGCACAACAGCCGCTGCTCCAGAGCCATCAACTCACTTAACCACTGACTGAATTAAGGAAACAACTTTTTGATTTACATATAGCTGAACTTATTCGTCAAAAGACAGCCTTCAAAAGAGATGCATACGAAATCGGACGACCTTGCTCAAATTTGAGGGAACATTCCTTTTAAAATAATCAGCTATAAATGTAAATAAACATGTGCCATTGCTCACTGCATGTGCGCCTTATTCAAAAGACGTTCACGTATGTTGTACTTGCACATTGCATTTAGAATACATTATTCAATATTCATTCTATCTGATTTTGGATGTTCTACAAGCACGCACAGGGATTTAAAATGTCTGCACCCAGGACAGTGTCAAATTTTCTCCGGGCGCAGAATGAGAAGTTAGCACTCTAGTGTTTATATATAGCTCTATGGTTTTAATCTTAAGGTCTAAATGATTTGTAGGCCCTACATGTATGTTTTAGGTGGTCATCAAAATTCAAACCCCCATTTGTTTAAAGATTCTGCCTGAGTGAAATTGACACAGTGAATAATTAACTCTCTTTTTCCAACCTCCCCTCTGTAGACTGGTATCGGTAAGCTACATTTTTCAAGTGATGGCATCAAAATTGGCGGTGAGGCTGAATTCCTCAAGGCGCTTTATGCTGCTGAGATCAAGTCCAGACAGGTTAGCAGTATTAAACTGTGCTCTCTCTTCTTCCAAAACAACATCTGCCATTGAAATGATCTTTGAAAATTTTTTTTTTAGCGTGGCCAGAGACATTTACGCAAACATATTTTTGGTCTACTTCATCTGGAAAAGATAATATATATTAATTAATTACATTGTATATGTTTGGAATCCAGTTATATACCCTTGATATGCTTGTCTCTCTGAAGGACTTCAACATTTGTACATGTATACGTATGCACATAAGCAAATACGTTGTACCCTTTCAGAATGGAACAATTAAGAGAAAAAAATTCTTCTAGAAGTTGTCCTGAAAATAAAGCAAAGAGTAATCAACCGTCAGTCTACCTTGGTGTTATGACATTCATATCATTAGTATTCACGTCACCGTTACATCGTGAAACGTAGCAAATTTCACACCTTGGCCATTCACACGGAGAGTGCATTAAGAGTGCAAATTTGGTGTTAAGTTCCTCTCGGTGAAACGGCCTGTAAAGGTTAATTCAATTTAACATACGAAGTTGAAACTGGACAAGAACGTGTTGGGGACTGCATCAGGGTATCGGTGCACGTCTACCAGTCCGTTCAGATCCAGTGGGAATGTCAGTCATGTATTAGCATCAATTCTTGAGGGACAAAGAGCTGTGTCTCTCCCCTCTTGTAGTATTCCTGATGAGTAGTTGAAAATCTGTATTACCGATACATTCCCAGTGACTGTGTGAAGGAAAAAAAAGTAACCTGCATCCTTTACAGTCACGGATGGTCGTTGCTCTCCTTAAATCACTTGAGATGGAGGAGAGAATCTGTAGTCATTTGACATCCAGACCCTTAGTCTCAACTGAATTAAGTGCCCATTGTGGTACACACATGTGCATCTAGTGCTCGCCAGATGGAGACTCTGTAAATTGCATTGGCACCTGTTTAATCCTTGCTTGTGGAGAAAAGGCTGATTTTCAAATTTTCCCAGAATTTGAGGAAGCCAAGTGAGAGGAAAACCTGTACATTTTTTGTAGAGAATGCAAGAACGTGATTTTGTGAGCTGGCGGTACAGGTTAACCCTGTCCATGCATACATGTACTGTACATGTGTGTATTTCATAATAACTGCTGTACATTCTTTCTGTACAAAGTTTTCATTGTTGACAATATGCATGACAGATTTTTGTTTTTGTTTTTTTCTTTGGTTGTCGTTGCACAGGACAAAAACCTTGTATTACAGTCGGCCAAAAATGTTACCTTAAATGCCAGGAACGGGCTAGAAAACACAACAAAAGGAAGATTAATAGTCGGTAAGACATCTTGTTGACTGGACATTTAGTTTCTTGTTCTTGTTCTGCAAGTTTATCCAGATATTACAAAATTGTGCGCAAGCTCGGTTGATGGAAAAGTAAGATATTTGCACTCGTTAGCAAGAGATTGCGGCTTTGAGACCCCCAGAGTCAACTTATAATACTTGTGGCAAGCTCTCAGTCAACTCTGAATGTAAAATATTAAAATAGAAGTCATACATCTGTCCATTGCAAAAATCTTTTAAAATGCCCAAATTGTTGAGTTTGCGTACTTCAGTGATTGGCAGCAGTATTTCAGGAATTTTTTTTGTCTTTGAGAATTAGTAGGAATTGTCTAAACTAATTTTGGGCACTGCTTTTAAAACCAAAGGAGTGGGAAAAAGCAGGTTTCCAAAAGATGGTAGCAGATATGTTGGCAATTTGGCAGAAATTAGATTATGATCTGTTTGGAAATCCAACATTTGGGGAAAAACAAACTTCTACACTGTAACATGAAGCATAACGACAAAGTGACCTGTTTTTCATTTCCCAGGTCCAGAAAGTTTAGTTTCCTACAATGATAGATTTGTCATCTACGACACGAAGAACAGAATGTTATTCTATGCAGATGAAAATGAGGTGATCATTGGTGCCAAAAGAGTCACATTTACAGGTAGGTCAATTAACGGGACACAGTCGTCATGGAGGGTTTTAAAATATTTTTTAAAAATAATGAGATTTATTCAACAAATCTAGAGGTCTAAATGTCATGCAACTTTTAGGCTAGTTTGATGGAAAAATGGTGACGCTACTTAAGGACTACAGTGAAAACTTCAGCTAGTTTGAGCAATATAATAATTAAGACATAAATTACGAAAATTGGTACTTCCTGTGATGTCGCTTGTTTGTTTCATTCTCTTAACAGGAAGTGAAGGGACAGCATTTAAAGGTCCCATTCAGACACCACATGTTACTTCAGAGTCTGGGCAAGATTTAAGGTAAGGCACAGACCATGCAGATGATTATCCTGATAGTCATCCAAATTTCTCAGTCCACACAGAACCTAAGGTTTAATTTAATGCTGACAAATCCTAAAGCTTGGATATTTTGCTTCTTTAAAGTGTTTCTTATGCACTACAAATTTTAGTCTGAATTAATGCGTTTCCAAGAAATATTGAGTGTTTTGTTCAGCGTGTAGAAAGTCTCCACGTACAGTATTTCGTGAACAATCCAGTGAGAGTCACATTGAGAAGTTCATTTTAAGCTTATTTCTGCTGAATTAACTTATTTTTTTATGAATAACTAGTGTTCCCTTTATCAAGCTACAAAATCCCCAGCTGTACGGATCTTTTCTTCATTGCTCAGACCAATTATAACAGAAATAACCTGGCACTGAGTGCTCTGGGGATTCAGGTCTTAGCAGTAGTCTTCAAATTCTTGTCTGATCCTCCAAACTGTTGCCTAACCTCCATTTTTTTCACTTCCAGGCTGGAATCCGTGTCATCAAATTTATTTGTGGAATCACCACAAACCGTTAGCCTTACCTCTCGCATCGGAGAAGTTTCCGTTTCATGTTTTAACGATATCAATCTCCGATCCAGGCAGGGAAAAGTAAGTCTGGTTTGGATTCTTTTTTTGGCAGCATGATGCAAATTACAAAGCTGTTTTACCAAATGTAATCTGAAAATCATAACATTTAAAGGAAAGATTTTTCCTCAACCGCTGACTGGAAGTTTCAGGGATAATGCTTTGTTGACACGATATTCAAGGCTACTTTCTTGACTAAGTACCAGTAGTGCTCCCTCCCTTCAAAAAGAATTAATAAATCCATGTCTTCAGAAATTACAGGTCACTTTCTGACTTCTGATGCCAGTAAAGGAAGGGACTTTAAGTGTGCACATAATTTTTATCCAAACCACCTGTTATGTTTAACAGAGTGAATGATAACGAAGGAATCCTTTTGTTGCAGTTCATTTAAATCTTTAATAATTTGTGACTTGAATTTAGACTGAAGGTCTTGTGGGGTCATCTAATGGTCTTAAGAGATTTCAACTGCAACACCACATTGTATTTCTCTTTTACATTTTTGTTCCTTCGCTATCGAAATAAACATTTTCTCTTGTTTAATAATTGTGTGAATCATAGGAAATTCATCCCTGTCTCCCCTTGTAAAACTCCTCCAGATATCTTTGGACGCAGCCCAAGTCGAAATCAAGAACCTCCCGGAGAGTACCTCAGGAACTAGCAGCAGTGCAGACGTCTTTGAACTTTGTGCCTGCCGGAATGGCCGCCTCTTCCTGGCCCCACCCATCACTGGCTGCCAAGCCAGGACCGAACTGTGCGATTGAGTTTTGCATGGTTCGACATGGCCATTAAACCCAGGTGAAAATGGGAGTTGTTCGCATTCGTCAGCAGTGACAACTGAGCGTATGTGTGGAACTTTTTTCAGTGTTTGGAGGTTCACAACACTTTCGGCCTTGGATGAAAATGACATGCTTTTTTGTCTGTGCCAAGTCTTTCATTGTGGGCGTTCGTCGTGGTAACCATCTCTGATTCAAGATTGAAACCTTGGCTTTGGCTGCTCCTCCGACCTTTGCCCCCACATCAAAGTGTGGTCACGAATGGTTGGACCAACTTAGAGGCTTTGACTCTCCTTTTCAATGTTAACTTCTTGCTGTCCTTCTAGCTGCAGTCTCTAAAGCTGGGAATCATGAAGCCAGAGCTTGAAGTTAGAAGTTGAAGCTGAAGAGTGAACAATGGCCTATGGTTTAATGCAAAGGTTGCATTTTCTGGGAGATATTGAGCTGAAAATGGAAACAAAACAAAGCAAACAAACGCAAGCTCTGCAGTATTGACTTTCTCTCAAGAATCCAGCTTTAGCATGGCTGCTGGCTGATATAGGGTAAGATTATTTTTGCTGCCGTATCAGTGAGTGAGGTAGTCATACTTCCGCCCTGAAATCAACTCTTCACGGTTTTCAGAAAATTAATTCATTCATTCAGATAGTGTGGTTTCATTTGTTTGAAACGATCAATATTTGTATTAAACAAACTCTTGAAGTCTTGAAGCATTCCAGAGGGATCGTGAAAATAGTCAGTTTTTTAAACTGTAAAAACTATTCTATTAAACAGTATTATTTACATGGTTTTAGTCTTCTTTTAAGTGTTTGTTTTGAAAGTTGAAAAGCCTTGCCCCTTTTATTATTTTTCATGCAGTTGACAAATTTTCCTAATGTGTAATGGGTTTGTGTAATGTAACCCTGAAATCATAACATGGTCAGTCATTTTAGGCACTCTACAATCTAGATGTGTTGAGTGAAAAACTTTATGTAGATCTGAAATACATAGGAGGTTGAAATCTACTGAAACTTTGTTAACTTTGGAATTACTTTTGACCAATGAAAAACACTGGAGTTGGTCATATTGTATACCACCATTTTGTTTTTGGAAGTTAATTTTACATGATAAAGTATGTCGCTTAAAACTCTTTTTGTTTTTTGGCCATTGTACATCCACCAAAAGCAGATAGAAGTTCTTGGAATTGTAGGGCTAATTATCTTTCTATTTCAAAAGAAAATGGCTGGAATTCCTCTTTTTTGAAAAGCCAGCAGTGTGTGTACTAAACAGATATGTACCCATGAATCAAAATAGATTCTGTACAAATGTGCATTAATACCAAAATTATAAGGGATAGGTCTTTATGATGTGGTTACTTTTAATTCAGTTGGAGCCGTGTTAGACAGATAAATTTGTCTGCTCATTTTCAATTCTTTTCCTCATCAAGATAAGACAATTTGTGGTATGCAGAGTTTTCTAAAAACAACTGTAGCATTTAAACAGTGCTTCATAACGACATCAGATTTAAAATGCTTGTTTTGCTTACTGAAAAGGTATTGTCTATTGGTTTACATAAAAGAGAAAAATCCTGCTCAATGAAATTCGATGTAATTGGATGTCAGGAACTTGAAGTAGATGGAACTTCTTGGTTGCCCCGTATTCAGTTGCATGATGCATATTTCTTTCTTGGTCTTTCTCCGTTTTGGCATTCCTCTAAGTTCATAGAAGTCTATATGATGCTGTAGCAAATTGTTTTTTCTTGCTTGGAAGTCATCAAGGTCAGAGTTGGGTAGCAAAGAACAGCCTGGTCATGTGTGGCAACACGAGTGTTTCGACAGTGCCTGTTATGGTGAGACCAGACGCTGCGTGCCATTTATTTGGTAACAACAGCGTTGCTGTACATCTAGATAAAATTTACATCGGACTGTGATGGGTTTGAAGCCTGTAAAGCCTAATGTCAGATCTGTTACTGCTGATGTGAGGCTCGCTGTCCCGTTTTTGCTGGAGTATGAGGTGCAAGCACTTTGCTTACTGTCTTTTGTTGGATTTTAAATTTGTTTAGTGGATTCAGAGAGATGGCCTATCAAAAAGGCCCAAGGTGTTGGATAGGTGTGCCAGAGTTGACAGTTGAAGCCCAATGGACATAACTTATGCTCCTCCATAGTGCACCACTAAAATACCTGTTATGGTCATGGCATAAGATTCTGCATTGTCACTTGCAAGAGTTAATTTGGGCACATCTGTTGAAGCAGCTGGCTTCATAAATGGGCACTGTATTGTTGTGCAAGTTGATTGTGATTGTGATGAACGGTGGGTTAACGCAAGTCCCAAGCTCTCGGTATGAATGTGCATTAAAAACAGGTGGGCTCAACATTAATAGTGGAAAACACCCTTTTATAAAACAATTCACTTTTGTTTCCTTTGAAATGGGAATTGCTATCAAGTGTAAACAAAACTCAGTGATAGAACTGTGGCCTTATAAAACTCATTCTTGTGACCTCTGTAGCTTTACATGGAGCCAAAATCATGGATGTGAGTGTAGTTACAATCACTCCACTACAGGGAATAGATCCAACTTTGGCCCTCTCTCCCCTTTTTTAGGTCATTGTGCTCTTTCAGAAGCCTTTTTCTAAGGATATTGTATAGTGTATATATTATGCTCGTTTGGTAAACCTTTTGAAATGCATGTAACGGTATTCAAATTGTCGGTAAGTTTCAAGCGTAATGTAAATATCAATATGTATGTTACAGAATGTTAGTATTTATACAGGAGTAAGAAGTGGGTGGAGTTGTGGGCAGTTTTATGGGATGTCACAGGCTGTTGAAGTCCATTATATAGCCATATCATGCGCTCCACGGTGCACGATAACCTCACATTATACTCCACATTGTATTCTTGTTAACCTTTAACCTCACATGCACCGTGCACCTCATGCAGTTCCAGGTAAATTCTTTGAGATTTTTAAACTTCCTGTTCTCTTCTTCCTCTTCCTGTGAGGTCTAGAGTTGGAGGTTTCATGGAGAAAAAGGCTTGAGGCAGTGGCGTAGCTAGGATTTGATTGGTTGGGAGGGCATAAGGGGGGCACCAGCATCTTATGGGGGCACCAGCTTTCAGTGGTGCGTTTTTTTGGAAGAGCAAGCTTTTGTTAGTTTTGTTTGATATCAATTCATCCGTTTTTTTTTAGTGGGGGTGTACCTGAGGGCACGGGGAATTTCTGGGTGTGCCTCCCCCCCCCACTACGCCACTGGTTTGGGGTTGAGAATACCATTGCCAGGGTCTTGCAAGTGTTCTGTGGCTGTGGTGTACACCATATTTGAGGGAAGCACCACTCCACTACTTTGTGATTGACTTTGAGCTGGCACAGGGCGCTGAGCAGTTGTGCTTTCCAGAGAGTTGGAAATTGCTACTTACTGGGAAGAGTAGAGAAGAATTGTCTGAAGGCAAGGGCAGATCAAGTTTGTTTTTTTTCCAGGGGGATGTTTAGGGGCCAAAAGTTTGGCAGTATCTTGAAGCTTTTATGGCATTTCTTACAATTTAGAGTGAGACTACATTTGGGGACTTTTTATACACTTATTTTTGAAAGCAATTTATTTTTCTCTTTTTTTTTGAGGGGGGTGTGAGCGATGTTCCCCTATCCTCAGTATGTGCAGATTGACCTAAAAGAACTCTAATTCATGCAGGAACCACTGAGTAATCACAGACTCATTTTGTTACTTGTACCCCACCTTGAAATGGCTAAAATTGTTTCTAGTAGTAGTTGATGTACAGCTCCATGCAGGAGACATCGTTAAGGATATTATAGCTTCTAGCTTGTTATTGATACAGAGTGACAGATTTATAAACTTTGCACATTTGGTTCTTAATTATTTATTGTGCTAGAATGCACCTGTTTGTAATTTGAAAAAAAATCCACTTATTAAAATTAAAGATAAGCAACTTTTTGTTGCATTTATCAAGGTCAAAAGGGCTGTTTTGCAATGCATGTAGTCAGTGTCTTTTAAAGTGTTAAGAAATTCAAGTTATATATTTTGTTCCTTGTCAACCTGTTTGTAGACCATTTATGTCATAAAAGCTGAAAAGTAGGTGTTGGCACTCGTATATAAAGATCACGTTTCTTTTCATTTCAAATTATTCAACCCAACTATCTTCTCAGAAATCAAAGTCAAATCCTCTCTGATTCAATGCTAAAAAAACATGTATGAGTACAATATAAAAGTAAATGGCTAAGTTAGAATTCTTGAGTTTGAAACGTGAATTAATCAGATAAATAGTCATCAAGTTTAATTTCACCGTGTTTACCCTTATTTGGACATTTTTATTTTAGTTTATTTTATAATTGTGTTTTATTTAAGTAGTCTGTATTCCTCTATTTTAAGAGGTTCTTTCTAGTTTTCTCTGAAATAACCTAAAGAATATCATAGAGCATCTTCAAATTCTTGAACTTTTTCTCCAAACTTGTGTCCAGTCACACACATTCCAGGTCATGATCTCTAGATGGTTGTCCAGTTGGCTTGCTTCGATTGTTTTTTGATAATTTTGATTTGGCAGATATTCATAGTTTCTTAAGTATGATTTGTTGCACATAACCCACCCTACTCATGTCATCATTTCATCCAGATGAGCCATGTAATGTACAGCTGTTTGTTTCATAGCAAAACCAGAAAATACTGTGGAAATGGCATACGTTTTCCAAGTTTGAACTCTTGACGTTCACAGTCTTAAAGTTTAGTTACCTCATCAGACATTTTTGCACAGAATTAAGGAAGAATGAAAAAATAAGTTCTGAATAACTTAGGCTGTCCAGGAAAGCATACAGATCAAGTGTGTGCATCATTTGTAAAAGAATTTTAAGTAAAATTATAATAATAAGTAATGGAAGGTGATCTATTTCTTATGTGTGCTGTAAGTATGTTTAGTTTAAATAAATTTTTGTCACCATGTATTGCCATCTTAAATTCATCATTTTTGATGACAGCAGTGTTCAGTTATGAGTTTTGCAAAGTATAAAGCAAGTTCTAGAGATTTTATCACTTAATATTATCAATTTGGGGGAGTACCTGACCAATTTGTCACGATTGGGTGATGAAAATGAAAAACAAATCTCTTGTTTTAGATGAAGTGTTTGGTCTGTTTCAATAACCCAACAAGGGCCAACATACAAAACACAGATGCCACAATCTGGGGCTCGTTTCAAATAGTGTTTGACTTCAATACGGGCGATTCACAATCGTGCGCCTCAAAGAGTTTGCAATGCTTTGGCCAATCACTGTGCAAAATCTGTCGACCCTTTCTAAACGTGCAGATTTTGCACATTGTGATTGGCCAACAGGTTGCAAACTTGTGAGGGCACACTATTGTGAAACACCCGTATTATTAGTGCTGTTCATTTGCACAAACTGACTGCTGTTTATTTTCATCATAATGTACTTGCAAAAGTGGTGGTGGTTTATTTTAACAAAAGCTGTGATCTCATAGATTGGCAAATTCTGGTGGTTTTAAATAGATTAACTAAATAGAACAGCTCTGACCTCCAAGACAACCAGTGTGGCATGCAAGTAATACATAATACACAAAATAAAACATAAATGCTCATGCAGAACAGTGTGAGGGAATTCTGGGTGGAAGCAACTGGTAGTGAGATTTTATGATGACTTGTAATTCAGTGATCAATACAAAACTGCAAGAACAGGAACCTGTACATACATGTACATGTACGGTTTTTACAAATAAAAAAAGTAACGCAAGGTAACAACCACGAAATTCCAGAATGTGGCAGAACTGCAGTTGTTGTGATTTGTACCCAAAGCATGGGATTGATACAGACACTTTACGTCAGTAAAAGTCCAGCTACAAAAAAGAAATATAAATAAACAGCATAATAAGCAGAAAATTCTACATCGTTTTATCCCAGGTTGGACAACATTTAGACACTATTGTCTAGAGACTTGGGTACCAGTTCATCTGACATTATAGTGAACCGTTTAGTTTTACCTAATAGAGATGTTAGAATTTTGTCTGAGTCGGTTAAGTCGGAATCCCCATATCTTGAAGACGTACTTTATTCCTGCCAAAAAAATAAAAACCTGTAATTCAAAATGCCCCATAGTGTATGCCACACCTGCTTAGCCTATCTCGAAGTTCTTGTGACGCCAGTAACAAAAAAAAAGAACAAAAACTGCACCCAAAATACTTTCAAAAAGTGTAAAAAGAACACAAGGCTTTTTCCATTACTGAAAGGTACAATTTGCCATTTCACACTGGGACATTTGTAGGCGTGATACCATTGTCATTTAAAGTACAGTCATAAAAATGACCCAGCTATGTATAACCTCAACAATTTGAATGAGGTGCCTTTATTGACTTTATTAGTTAACAGGTATGCCTGAATAGGATGTTGAATTGTAAACATTCAATATTATTCGGCGCATCTTTCGTTGCTTAGTTGGAGAACAGTTGAATTTAAACGTTGTCAAATTTTGATAAGAAATAATTGATTACAAAAGACTGAAAAGGAAAGACAAAAGGAAAAATTCTGTATTGTTTGTGTAGTTTTTGCTTGCTCACACAGGCCGATTTGTGTAAACAAAAATAGCATTCGAAAGGTGTCAGTAGGTTGAGAACGCTAAATCTTATTTTAAGTATTATTTCTGTTTTTAGAGCATGTAACAAAACTGCTTTTTCCCTCTCTTTCCCTTTTCTCATTTTTGAGAAAATTATATATTTCTCATTTAACCCATTTTCGTAGCCGTCAGAGCCTTCTAACGCCTAGACTCATCAATTCCAGTGACATCGTCAGACAAAAATCTCAAAGTTTCTACAAAAATCAAGCAAACTAAAATTCATGGCCACATTTTTAAAGGAAGTCGGTACTTGGCATTGAAGACAGCTGATTGGTTCATCAGCGCTGTGACGGGCAATTCTTTTGTCACTGAGCGTTCTTAGGTGTGACCGGCTTGCATATATTAAAAACACAAAAAGGTTATTGTAACTGGGAATGTGCGTTCTGAGCAGAAACTATTGGCATGCGGCACTAAGCGCAGGGTGTCGTCGACGCCATTTTTAAGAACGTTTCTAGAACTACAGCGTGGTGTGTTTCAAGATAATTTCATGTGTGCTTCTCAGCCTTCTCGTCTAAAATGTCATCTCCGGAGGTCGCTGGTGACGGGCTTGCAGAATTTATTCCCTCTGTGATGTTGCTCCATCGTACACCTGGAAACTGCTGACAAATGTTATGTTGCTTTTTCTGTAAGTACTACAAGTTGTAACTTAGTACAACCAGATGAGGTAAGTTCTAAAGGTAAGTTACCAAATACCAGGTAATGTTTTATGCAGAATGACCCATGGGTGAAGCCGGTTTTGAGGGTTACCAAAGTCTATGGATCTGGCATAGCACCAAACGGGGAAAAACGAAGTATTTTTGCATCAAATGTCTGTAGCAAGCATCGATACTCCCAGAAATCACTTCTAGCACTCTTTTCCTTTAATAAAGAAACCTAAGTCTACTTTTTAAATTGTTTCGAAAAAGTAAAATTTGTTCCCTTATTATAGGAACGGGGTTCTAAAGGTAATTAACACCCCAGAAATGAACCAACCACTGAAAACGAATGGGGGACCCGTTTTCGAAAAATAGCATGGAAAAAAGTGAAAAGACATTAAAAATTCACGGTGTTAATGTTATTGGGAGTTTTCGCTTTTTTTCTCACGATTAGAGAATAGACTTGAAGTATTTAGGGTGTGACTCAAGGAAAGTTATGAATAGAAGCACAAAATTCTTTCCAAGTATTTTTGTATGCAGTATTACTATTAATCTTTACATCTTGCAATCTTGTTTACATCCTGTCACATGTATCCAGTTGGGGTTATTGAAGTTCACGAAGAGTTTTATGAGGCTTTCTCTGTTCAGATATAAGCATGAATATAACAACAAAACTTCATGTGTTACATGTGCAGAAAGCATATGAAAGGACACCTATCTCAGCATTAATTGTGGTCAATATAAACTGAGTTTGAGGGTTTTTAATGGTCGTGACTAAATCACCAAAATGTCTTCCGGTTATTTGTGCTTTCCTGATGATGCTTAACCCCGCAGCCATACAAAATAATTTTTTTCTTATTCCTGTGAACATTTAATAGCCAACCCTGCAAATTTTCATTTGGTGATAAAAAGGTAACTGCTCTTATGACCAAACCTGCACAATTTCCCAGTGTTGCCTTAGGTGGGGGGACTTAACAAATTTCAAGCAGTGGCATGCCCAAGGTCGGACCCAAGCATGGCATTTCCAAAAGTTGGCATTGCTTTGAACTTACATCATGTACATTTATAAGGGCAACTTTAAAGATTTTCACCATGACTCAGAAGACTATGATACTTGCGCAGTTTGGTTTGCATAGTATTTCTGTCACAGTTTAAAATAGAAATGTAGAACCGAATTATTTCAATGATTGATCTTAGAGTATCAAAGAACTACAAAAGAAATGGTTTCTGCTTTTTGCCACGTATTCATTGTATGCCAGTGACATCTTTCTGTATAATTTTGATAGAATCTACTGACCATTTCCCTCTTGCTCTAAAGAAAACCAAGTTGAATCAGTGATGATCAGTCGCATTTGATGAAAATTCTAATGAGCTTTTTTTTGGGGGGGGGCAATAGTTCTGTATCCCACCACCTCACATTCACTACGAAACATCAATTTTATTTGACCTTGTTTTTAACAGAAGTCAACTTCATTAAGCTTGGTAAAACTGAAAATGAAGAAGAGTTGTTTCCAGAGGGCATGTGGGCATGTCGCCGTAACCCCCTATAGGGACCATTGAAATCCTGCATAACCTTGTTGGGTTCAGCTTCGTTAGGGTTAAGAATTTAAAAAAGGACAGAATGCCATCACTGTCAGAAAGGAAAGAAAGAATTTAATGCACGGATGTCGCTTGACACCCTGTGCACAGACCCTATGAGACTGCTCTGAAACTTTGTATTTTCTGAGGACCTCAATTTATTCACTGCTATTTTTTAGGACATTTTATTGCTGTTAGGTCACTGAAGTTAAAATTTAGTGGCATCCATACATGGAATTCATTCCAAAAGGAAATTAAGTTGTAAAACCAATATTGAAATTCTTTGTATTAACAAAATTATACATTGGGATTGTAGTTGTCTGAACAAAGGACAAGAGTTTACTTTATCTGATACCCCAAAGAGAGACTGGATAAAACCTTTTCTCATGTTCTGAAAAACAAACTCCCTATTTTTTCAGAAGGTTTATTTACTGGTGACAGGCATAAGGGTCATTTTATAAATTTCAGGTCCACAAGTGTGAAATTTCTTGGGTCCCTGTTACACCTGACCTGTGGAATTTGACAAGGAAATATCATTTAAATTGGCTTGAAACTATAGTTGTTTGGCATGTAACTTGTATTACTTAATCACTCTTGAAAATGAAAGCATGAGTTTAAAACGTATCAAATATGTCAGATGTAACAGAGACACACACACAATTGGACCCTCAATTTATATGATGACCCATATGTAACCAAAATTGGAAAAAAATAACTAATGTATTTTATAGAAAACGGAAAACGGTGTCTCGCTTTGTTTTGCAATTTGCTTTTCCTTTGAAGTATCAAAAATACTTCTGATACCATCTACAATCATTTTTGTTGACTTGAACAACACCAATGCATAGTTTGACAATTTGCTTTTTTGCTTTCATCTTTGATTTCTCATTTTTTCATCATGAATCTTTAATACATAGCCACAACCCTTTGAGTTAAAAGACTCATACCAATCTAAAAAATCAATTATTTCATTTTAAATGTGATGGCATTTTACGCTTAAGTATATTAGGCAAACACTTATATTTCTTGTCACCAGCATGAAACTGTTAATTAGTACAGTTTTTAAAGAAAATTCCCACCACAAGAATGATTTTAAGTATTCTATTATATTTACAAAAACTGCATTTGTCTTCAAGCAATTCTCTTGGGTGTTTTCAAATGATTGCAGTTGGAGGATTCAAAATCTGTATGGGTCAGGGGTCAAAGAGCTTTTTGAAGTGGCACATTAGCAAATCATGTTGAAATTTGTCCAGTCTAGGCAAACACTTATATTTCTTGTCACCAGCATGAAACTGTTAATTAGTACAGTTTTTAAAGAAAATTCCCACCACAAGAATGATTTTAAGTATTCTATTATATTTACAAAAACTGCATTTGTCTTCAAGCAATTCTCTTGGGTGTTTTCAAATGATTGCAGTTGGAGGATTCAAAATCTGTATGGATCAG